TCACATGAGTATTTTAAAGGTACAACGCAGCATGCAGAGCTAGTACAGGCTGAAGAAACTGGCCCATAAACCTGCAGCTGTTTTCCCTGTTTATAATGCTGTTACCGTCCCAGCCCAAGAAACAAAACAGTGTTGAGCTAAATGTAGGTATCTCTGGAAATCATATGTCTTCCAGAGTTAATCAGCTAGACAGAGCAGCCTGTTTTCTTCAGGCATAGTTCTGCTTACTTGGGATTTGTGTTCTCCAGTTGCAAGGCAGTGTGACTCTGCACCAGCTCTGTGAGTGCACTGCAGGAAGCTGCTTGAAGTCCCTTCTGGCTGAGGTAAAGGCACCTCGTGCCAGAACAGCCTCTGCCTTTCAGCAGAGAGGAAGATAATAGCCCAGGTCTGTGAGTTTCAACATCTTTGCCTGGGAAGCAGTGGATATTTGTCACCTAGAGAAAGTGCATTCATCACCTTCAGTCTGGAGCACAAAACAGAGACCTATATCCAAATGTAATGTTTGCTGGGTACTGAGTGTAAGGTGTAAATGCACATATATTAGGGTTCATTGGCTGCTTCAATCTCCAGCCCTCTCAGAAACTGCGCTGCTCACTTCGTCTACACTCCTGAGGCCACATGGTTAGGTCAAAATCCCACTAAACACGCAGACCAGACTTCCTTTAGCAGTCTGGTGCACACCCTACCCCTGCAGTACTGAACCATTCTGGTCTGCATTTTGCAGGGCATGATATCTGATAGCTACTGAATATAAAAGAGAAAGCCTGTGATTAGCCTTAAAAATTATTTTTTTTCCCCCCATCACTGAGGAGTGTCAAATTTAGCTGGAAGAAGCCTTGAGCATCCTAGTCTGATTTCATAGCTGACTCTGCTTTGAGCAGAAGGTTGGGCTGGAGAACTCTTGACGTCACTTCCAGCCTGAATTATCTTATGAGCTTATAATCTTACTAACCAAGGAAGGGAGGTGTCCCCAAATGACAGCAAAAAGCTGTCAAAAGGATAGCATCCTTTCTGTGATTTGTGGTTTCTTCCCCTCTGTAGCAGGACAGCACCATTAACATGGCTTACATGGGCCGCTCAACCCCACTGAAAATCCTGTTATACCCTCAAGTGCTTATGGCAACAATCCATTAAAGAAAGCAGCAGGACAGACAGACCAGCAACAAGTCAGGCGTGGCTTTTTGAGTGGCAAAGACTTCCCTTTTGTCTCTGTGATACTCAGGGAAGTGGAGCTCTGTGTACGTTCACTGAAAAAACATGCCCATGCCAAAGCAGCTCCAGACTCCCTCACCCATTTTTCTCCTTTGAAACAATATAGCAAATCCCAGTGATCAGATAATTGCTGCGTGGGCCAATAAGCAGCAATAGTAATGGTCTGGTTTACACCATTTCTGCATAATCTGGATCTCTGTTTTCTTTCTTTCTTTTTTGTTTTTCTCTACAGCATTCCAGATATTGTAGTTGTTTAACTGGCATTATTGTTGTAGCCGTCTTTCAAACACCAGCCTGAAGCCAGGAACAAGGGAATTATAAGATTTCCTTTCCAGGTGTCAAATGACAATTAATGCACATCCTTTTTTAAACTAGAAAAAGACATTCAATGTTTAACAGTTTTACGCAGGAAGAATGTGTTTTGTATATATATGTGTACACGTGCACTCTGAATGGATTTATTGCTGTTTAATCCATTATATAGCATGTTTCTCGAAACTGATGTGATATTAGTGCATTTTGGTTTTCAGCCCAAGTTTGCATGTTGTATCTTCTTAACAAAAAAGCAGGCAGCTCTCCTTATCACTCAGCAATTCTAATTGTATGAAGTGCACTAAGAAAATTAAGCATGCAAAACAACCTTTGGTCTGCATTATGATTTTAAGTTTTGCATTACCAGCCTCCATGTGAAAAGGCAGCCCAAAGGAAGACTCTAGATCCAAATTTTCCAGTGAGATCTGCAGTGTCCAGGTGGTATACTGATGAATGTATACACCAGTTAAAGTGAAAACTCTGCTCTTGAATGTTTCTGTTACCTCAGTAGCTCAGCAGCATTACCTCAGCCTTTAAGCCCAGAGAATACAGACAAGAATGGTATAAAATGGGGCAAAAAGGTATAAAAGCAACCTCCCTTGGATACTAGTGATTTGTGTATGACCTCTGTGCTATGTAACAGGTACATTCTGCATGAATGATCTGTATTTTTCCTGACATGATTAGGAATTCAGACCATTCTACACAGAGCCTGGGAGACTTTCCGTTTGCCTGCACCAATTTCATTAGGAAAAGAGCAATTTGCACCTATGGGATGGTTTTGTATGTGTTCTCAATGTCACATAAGAAACCTATGTCCCTGTCAGCTTCACCCATGCTTCTAAATGCTGACAGCTCTATCTCCATCTCTTTATTAAATTGTTGCTAGTAACGCTTCCAAAAGGAACTGATATAAATGTAGAGACTAATGGAAAAAATAATAAAAAATTATAATTTGTCAAAATAGGATAACCAGATGTTGCATTTGCCCAGTTTTTGAATGGTGAGGTTAGGCTGGCATGAAGGACTCAGAAACTGAGGACGTGAGCCAGGAGGGAAGTATATGAAAGACATAAACAAGTTAAAGCAAAAGAGTAAGTAGACAGAAAGTAAGAAAACGTAAATCAAACCAGTTGCAGCGTGTGCATGTGCAAGCTCACACGTGCCTGTGTTAGAAAGAACATGAAACAACTCGTGAAATCTTTCTACAGTTTTGAGCTGGGCACAAAAATGGTGTGAGTATTATCACCCCAAGTTACAAGGACCATCACCCGAAGTTGCAAGGAGCCTACTTGCTTATAACCTTAGTCAACATCAAATGAGTTACCTCACACCACTTATACTCACAGTGTTTTTCTTGTCATAAACTATTAACTAACACCTAGTCCATTTGAAAGAAAAAGAACTTCTTTCTTCCCCTGTATTTTATTGTTGCTGACTTCTACTCACTCTCACTTCCCAGTCTTCCTGGACCATATAGCAAACCAAATGTACTGGGCTACAGAATATGTATCCTGAAAGAGTTGCTTAGTGATTCACTTAAGAGGAAAAGAGATGAACCCAGAAACCCCAACTCACCCAGCTCCGTAATGTAATTTCACTAGACGGCACATCAGAATATTTCAGATGTCTTTATCAGCCAGCTATAAATGTATTTAGGTCTACTAATCATTCCCAGGGATGGAGAAGGAAAAGAAGCCACCTTCCTGTTGACTTCTAAAGCCATTAAGTAGGAGCAAGGCAATGGCTGATCTCAGTGACAAATTATTTTTTCACTTCACTAGGTATTTTTAAAAAATTCCAGGGAAGAAAAGCCAAGGTGAAACAGTAAATTTTTAATGAATGACAACATAAGGAGGGTGATTCATCCTGTATGAAATTGTTTCATCCTAGCAGAACAAAATATTTTGTTTCAAAATATTTTGCATTTCTTAAGTTTCTTTATTAATTTGGAAGAAAGACTAAATGGATTGGAACAGTGTTTTTCAGCAGTTAATTTTAAAATCACTGCAAATAAGCTGTTTCAGCTTGGAGATGAAGGGGTTGACTTTAAGAGAGAAAAATGGCAGTTCGATAAACCAGCATGAGTTTGAGACTATTAAGTGTTCACATACTCTAGAGGAGGAAAAATATGCCTCTTTGCATCTGCAACAACTTGAGGCTGTAATACTTTTGCCTTGCTCTGATGAAAAACATTATCAGCAAATGCTTCACATTTTTCATTCTTACACAAATAGATACTGGGGAAAGATTGTGGGTGGATGCCATAAGTTAGACCCCTGCATCTACATTTAGACACACGAATTTCACAAGCATCTCAAACTGTCAAGACCCTGAAAGGAGCAATACCTCCCTCCCCTCCTCCCTACCTGCTCACTGTCACCTTCTCCTTGCCCTTTGCCTTGTGATCGAACATGCATTAATGAAATACTGTGCTGAGCAATGCTGGGAAAGAGCAGAAGTATGTCCCTTTAGCTTGGATCGGTTTCCTGATCTTTCACTTGAAAAGTGGTGGCAGAAAGATGGGAACAAACAGCCACGGGTAAGGAAAGTACTAGATCATACTGATCTGTTGCAATCAAAAATGTGTGGTCCAACAAGCTGTGAACAGCTACAGCTCTTTCTGTAGATAAAGGGAGTTTTACGTTAACTATCCTTGTTCACAAGTGTTCATCTCAGCTCATATTACAGAAGGTTGAGGGTTTTTTTTTTGTCAAAAGTGAAAAAAATAAAAATGATGGTATACATAAACATAGAGAGATGGAAAGAGAGAATATTTCTGCACCTGCCTAAATCATGTTGATACAAGGAGGTTTGAGTTAAAGTAATGGAGAATCTAACCATGATTAAAGTGTATCAGAAATCACAATCAGCACATCTTAGGGCATGAGTACAGTACAGTCAGGTCTGAACAAGAGAAATGAGTACGGAATGCTCTACTGCCTAGCAAAGCCAATGTCTTTTCTGTGCAGTCTCTATTTTTATTACCTGAAGCCTTTGAGGTCCCCAGTATCAGGCAGTCACAGTAGAAAGCATGGGGAGATATTCCAAACTATTATTGTTGAGGGCGGGCACAGTACTGGTTCGAGAGATATTCCTAACGCCTATTTCCAGTTTCATTGTCTGGAGTATGGCAGCATTCAAAGACATTTTATGCTTATGTCCTGTTATGTGATTTCTGAAATTAAAGTGCATATCTGAGAGATGTTACAGGACTTGGAAGAAAGGGAATCTATATATGCTTTTGCAAAATGTATAATAAGAGAATTACTGTTTTTATTTAAATAGATCTCCCTGTTTTACAAATAATTCATGTGCCCTTCATGCTCTAGGAAAGCAGTTGTGAATAACAAGGTGAAAGTTGTCCCTTATGACATCTGAAGCGCTAATTAATACCTAGGAAGCTATGGCTTATTGAAATAATTTTTACATGTTTTATTTTTGTCTGTATGTACATGTCTGTATGTCTTCCACAGGCTGGAACAAGAAATACAGAAGTTAGAAAGTGAGGAGTCCCAAATATCTGCCAAAGAACAAATAATTTTGGAGAAACTACAGGAGACTGAGAAATCCTTCGAGAACTTGCGGAACGTATGTATACAATACCAATACTTGGTAATAGATTGAAACCAAGGTATACTCTTAGCATTGTGTGAATGCCACAGTTATGATTTGCACTTATGGGAAGATTGAGGGCAGTTGCAGAGCATGTAGCTCAAACCAGGATGAACAAGACTGAAAAAGATGTAGAGGTGTCAGATCTATTTTGACTGGGTTATTTCGATTTCTCCTTTCCACTCCAGCTTTTTTCAAAAAGGGATTTCAGAGACTTGTCTCTCTAGCTTATCTATAGGGAAACAATGTGAGCTTTCACCCCCACTGAAAGATGTCAGCAGGATCCTGAAAAGCATCTCAGACTTCCCTCCTCCCAGTGGCACCCAGAGATAGTAACATTTGCCACAAACACCACTTCTACACATTACAACCTGCAAGAAACAGCAGTGTTCTCCTTTTAGTTACACCATGTCCCTCTGCCTCAACCTCGAATGGCACCTGAACCTAAGGAGCCACATCCCCAGTTACACATTTAAAAATTACAATGAACCGTGAAAGCAAGCCCAGCATAAAAATCAAGACTTGATGCAAATTAGACCCAGAATACAAAAGATTTAACCAAACATCTTATTTTTAACCTTCACAGAGATTCTGACACCAGGATGGTGGTAAGTACCTTTTTATTGTTGTATAGCTTTGGGTTTAACGAGAGTTGTTGCTATAGCTTTGTTGCAAAGGTTTACAGAGTGAGTGTTCTTCTCTTCATTGTATGTTTCTGACTTATTGTCAGAGCCATTGCCTTTTTCTTTGGTATAGCTGTAGTGCAAGCAACGTCACTATTGGGGTGAAACAGTATTCCTTTGACAGAACTTCATTTCTTTTTAAGTGCACACAAGGGGAAAGAGCAGCATAGATGGCTTGAAACAGACATCAGACAACTTGTATGTTATTGACCCCTCCCACCACATGATAGCCCTGCTCTACAGACTCCTTTTCACCTCCCTGTGGTCAGTCTTCTCCGTTGTATGTGCTTATGTTCTGTTCATAAACAGTTAAATACAACGAGGACTAATATACAGGAACAATTACTAAAATTGGAGTACATCATTGATGAACAATATTATCTGCATGATGATTCTTACAAAAGGAAAGCCTCACATAGGTAAACAAGTTATTCCTAGTTTATTAACTTGGTGTCACACTATGTGTGATCAGTCTAAAGACTGAGCTATAAATTTAGGTGTCTTGAGTGAGCAAATAATATGATTGGTTCCCAGTAAGCTAGAGAGAACCTCGTAGTGCCTCTCTAGGACCCTTAGAACCCAGGAAGGATATCATGCTCACCCATCTGCAGATAAACCTGTGGTCATTCTCAGTACATGTCTTCGAACTGACAAAATTAAAAATACTGAGGTCAAGACTAGCTCCTCCACTGCTGACAAAGCCATGTCTAACTGTACTGCGAGTGTAGATGAGGAATACATAGGATGATCATAACATTAAAGCACTGGGACACAATGGAAGGTTAATATACAGTGTATGAGCTGACTTGCAGGTGTCTTTTTGAGGTGATTAATATTACTTAATGAGAGGGTTTTCTTTTTAACTCAAAGATCTACTCCAGAAATTTTCAATTCTGTTAGAAATATACTTCAAGTTTTATGTTAAATATACTTCCAAGTTTTATGTAAAAAACCAAATTAAAGAAAAGATAGGATGCTCCATGGTAAGAACTTAGTCTTCTTTCCTCCTGGAGAATTTGAAATTGCCTACCACAAAGCAAATAAAGATCCAGAGGGACAAATATTTGGTACTTATGCAGAGTTTCACCATGGTTGTTTATGACTCCTGCAAGACACAATCTCCCTCTTTATGTGTGTTGTGATAAAATGGGAACCAAAGGAAGCCCCAGATAGCAAATACAAAGCAGTAGTTTGCTGAAAAGTATTGTCTCATAGCAATGTAGTATTTCGTTGGGTTCAAGAGGAGCCTCACTGCTCTTCTCATGTTGCTTGCTTTCAGTGCACCCTTCCCTCACAGAGTGAGCCAGAAGTAAGGATAGCTCATGATTTTTGAAGGGTAACATAAAACTACAGAATTATGCCAAAGAGAAGACAGTGCATCCAGAATAAATGTGCAAACAGAGGGAGCAGGGGATATAGCTAAGGTAACCAACACCTCTTCTCTCCCAGACCACTTGCTTTGTGTATCTTATACTCTCAGCAGGTGGTCCTTGTAGGCTGGGGCTGGCCCAGGGCAAACTCTAAGCAGTACTGTACCCCACTCCTTTAGGGATGACCGAGGCTGCAATTTGTCGTGTTAGGCCTCCCTTTATGGGCACAATGTGGCCATACCTCTTCACATGGTGAAAGCTGAGCAGGTCTTCTGTTTTCTGCTCTCTCACAACAGTCTGTGAGGGTAGCTGATCAGAGCAGGAAGAAAAAAAATCAGAAAAAAAAAATTAATACATCAGTTTGTGGTGTCCTGAGTTAAGACAAATCACAATTATGCCATTGAGGTTCATTGATGGAAAAGGTCACCATGAGTTTCACAAACACTTGTCACTGCCCGTGGTAATTTGTAATTAAGTGTCTGTGGATGTCTGTCCTGGAGCCAAACTGTCTTCATCTGCATACAACGAATGCTTAAATAGATGACCACTTCTGGAAAGTCTGTGAGAACTTTACACATTTTTCTTTGTAAAGCTGTCCAGTGAGATGCCATCATATCTCAGAATGGTTGTTGAGTGGTGTAGACTGGCTGTCTATTCCTACTTTGTGGTCTTTACAGTTTCCATCTTGTTACTGCGTCTTTCTTATCTGCTAGAAAATCTTCTTCGCTGTTCCACAACAGCATTCCTCACACTCATTTTTTTACCTATTATTTCATGACGCTTTGAAAATCAGTTAATTATTACTGTTTTCTTCAACTTTGACAGTGGTGCTTAGGGCCTGATACAAGTAAACAAGGGAGCACTTCTTGGCTGTTTTGCACATTCTCTTAACCTGCAAGTACTGTCAATGACTTGATATGGAAGCTGAGAGACCTGCCACACATCTGCAGGAGAAATTATCCCATTCCTCTGTGATTTTGTTTTCCCACATGTAGAAGAAGGGTAAACAATGTTTCTTCACGTCGCTAAAATGTTTTGAATGCTACGGATGGAAGAGTTAAGGAAAAACAAGCATTGACAGTAAAATAGTCTGGGTGTTACTCGCAGCAAACAAAACTTGTTACCAGCTAACTGGCAGTTTGATGTCATAGAGAGAAAAGAGAGTAGAAAGGTTCCTGGAGATGAGTTTCTCTCCAGATTTCGAGGCAAGTTCAGAATGGAAAGGTTGAGGCCAACCTGCATGCTGTCACCTCCTTTTGTCTAAACTACACCTAACCCAAGTGCTCTTGAAGCTCCTAATTGATCACAGGCAGCGCCATGTGGTGTGAGCTGGAAGACCAGGTCCTGCTTGCTGCAGGTATGCCTAGCCTCCGGCGGCATAAAATGCTGTAGTGTAATAACTGTCTCTGTCCACCATGTTGTGTCCTACCTCTAACATAGATGCTTGGCCCTTTAGAAACAGGAGGTAGGAAGAGGGGCACCTTAGTTTTCTTTGTCTGTTTGGCAATTAACCATTCACTGGCTTTTTTTGTTGTAACATGCACTTCCTCTCTTGTTTTCATTCGAGCTTTGTGCACCATGGAAATTAGTGTGGAGAAAGACAAACAGACAGGAGAGACCAAGATTGTCTCTGCTTCACCTCTTGGCCCAGATGAGGCCCATCAAAGAGGATTCAAAGTCTATGATGATGGTACCAAGGTAGTCTATGAGATTCACTCTGGTGGCACAGTAGTAGAAAATGGAGTACCTAAATTAAGCTCAAAGGACGTAGATGAACTTATGCAAAAAGCTGGACAATCAGGTGTAAAAGGAGGATGTGAAACAATTGACTGTGTCAGATGGAAATGCAGTAGCTGATGGAAACCTTAGCCGTATGAAGGAGCAAATGCTCTTCAAGGAGGCAAAGCTGGAAATGGTACACAAACCCAGCAAAGGGCATGCTGTGAACCCGAAGCCTCAAGACAAACCTTGCGGTGGTGAAGCCCTGGAGGCCAGCGCAGATCAGCCAGTGACAATGATATTTATAGGCTACCAGAACATGGATGACGAAGAGGAGACAAAGAAAGTGCTGGGCTATGATGAAACCATCAAGGCAGAGCTGGTTTTGATCGATGAAGATGATGAGAAGTCGTTGCGGGAGAAGACGGTGACAGATGTCTCCACCATGGATGGGAACGCCGCTGAGCTGGTCTCTGGCAGGCTGCTGTCGGACACAACAGAGCCCTCCTCTCCTGAGGGGAAGGAATAGAGCCTGCCCTTGGAAGCTGCCCCAGGTACACAAAAGAAAAAGCGCTGTCAATGCTGTATTGTCATGTGAGCATCTCCTCCTTCCCCACTCCGGGCAGTTCCTGCTCCATCACTTACCTAGACTTCACTGTACTTCTAACTGCAATACTGTGAACTGAAAGTGAATGTCTCACTTGCCTTGCAGTTGGGTTGCTTTGCTTTCTAGTTCTTCAGGAAGAGGAACATATGGTTATTTTTCCATCAGACATACTGTTTGGGGTTTGGGGGGGGCTGGGAGGGGGTGTGTGCTGCTTTTTCATTGGATTTTCTTTTTCTTAGTATTACAGAGTGAGAGATAAATGGGAAATGGAACAAATGTTTTGGTATTTATTTGATTTTAGCTCTGTATTATATATATAATGAAAACACTTTTTACGTTTTTCTTTGGATATCTGGCAGTGGTCTGAGACCACTGCACCATCTGAGGCACAATGTGGCAGGGAGATGGTGGCACACAAGAGTCCGGAAGTGACCCTTTAGTGGTTAGAAGTAGAGCACAAGCCTTAAACCTTAAACCTGCCAAATACCTACTGCTCACTACTTGTAGCTAATATCGAGTGCCTAGGAAGGCCAGTGTTTTTTATGTGTTCATATGAATCCCATGGTTAATGGGCCACAATAGATGCAGAAAAGCTAAAGGTCTGTCTGCATAGGGTTTGTCTTTATGGGTCAAAGGTAGTTCCATGTCTAACGTCTGGAAGAATGTGAAACAGGAGCAAATAGGTCTGAACTTGGAGGTTCTGAGCTACATTGGCTGAAACATGCTTACTCCTTATGCCTTAACTCTCGTAAGAAAAACAGAACAAAAAAACCTCTTTTCAGTATATCTTTTCCTAGACTGGGAAAAAGTAACCTATGAATCTTTTTTATATTTTGTATTTTCTAAGTTTCTATGAACCCACTTTCCATGTTGTCCCTTGTTTGCATTCAGGGACTGTTTATTTTGCAAATCACTGCATTCTACTTCCATTTCTTTTTTTTTAACGTAAGAAAAATACATATCAAAAAACACAGCATTATGATTAGTGCCTAGGCAATCTCTTTCAATTACAAGAATATCAATACAGAAAGAAAAGAGTTACAGAGTGGTTTTCTTTTTCTAATTTCCTGTGGCTGATGTACTATATGGTATATGTTTACAGAGCTCCTATGGTCTGCCTTTGTGATGTTAACTAAATGAATGAAAAAGTAGGTATGATGTGCCATTTGACAGTTTGCCTTAGCACTCTTAGGTTTCTTGCTTCTTTTTTGTATCTTTCTTTTTCTTACTTTTTTTTTCCAAAAAGTGCAGGCTGTATTCCAAAGCTGCATAAAGACAACATTATCTTTCAATCTCCAGCAAGAGAAGTCTGCACAAGGCCTTCTCCATGAAGTTTACCTCTTCTGGTGCAATAGAAGACCTCAGTCCTGCAAACAAAAATGCATACGCCTAATTCTGCTGTGTGTAGACCTATTCCAGTCAACAGGACTGCTCACAGGAGGAATGTGTGTAGATGTCTACAAGATCAGGACATGAATGACCAATACAGGTGCAGTTTGGGTGTTACTTGTGTACCTACACCGAACTTACGCGCTGCTGAGTTTGCCCAGGGTGGTGTAATCCTCGAGGCTGATTCTGAGCGCTGCTACTTCTGCTGAGAAAAAAAACCAAACAAAATGGTGCTTAGCATCTGGTGGGATCCAGTCCCAAGTCAGCATTGCTACCATGACAGCGGTGTCCATGAGCAAATATTAAGTGGGACCTCCCTGATAGCTAATGCGTTAGTGCCCTGCCACTGTACCTAAGTTCAATACTGATTCTTCGCACTTAAAATTACAGAGATAAAACAAATTAATGAGAACAGAAAGATAGAAAACAGAGTTGCTAGAGAAGTAGAAGACGTTCTACCTTTTGATTTAGTCCAACATCTAAATGGCATACTTGGAGAGTAAGTGGGGATATAGTAGAAAACGTAGTATTTTACATTTGTGTATTTTTTAAGGAATAAATATTTTTGCAATGAGATACAAACCTTAAATGGGGTTTGGGTTTCTGGATATCATCCTTCCCATGACATTGAGCCTTTGAACTTTTCCATACGTTTATGACAATGCTCAACTTCTTGGGATCTTTTGTAGACCTGATCACGATTTTCTCCAGGAAGCAGGATCACAACATTTTTTAAGAGTAAAGTTAGAAGAGTAGAATCCAATATACCTACTATGGTCCCAGCTAAGTAATTAAATTTACTTCACAGTAAAAGGTGGATATATACTTTCTATAGCTAGACAAACTTCTTTATCTAGAAAGCCCACATGGTAGGCAGTAGCTACTTACTTTCAGTAGAGAGGTATGGCTAAATAGGAGGACTGTATGTTTCTTGACTTTGTCATACTTTATTCAACATTAAATTTCAAAGTGCAGAAGATGGTGTCACTGGAAAGAGTTGAACAAAATCATTTAGACAGAGTAGAGGATATTCCCACAGGCTGAGATGTGGCATCTTTATTTTTTCTCAGCTCAACATTTCAAACAGTTCTCACTGTCTATTAGAAAGTTTAGGATTTGCTCAGATTGTGTTTCATGAGCCTTGTAGGCAGCAAGAGTAAACATTAGTTTTGAGCTTAATCAGAGGTCACAGGCTATGACAATGTCCAACAAAAATGTGTAATTTTTGTATGTAAAAAAGTAAGTTGTATAAAATGATTGAATTTATTAAGTTAAAAATATAAATGGATTGTCATCTAGTCCAAAGAGTATATAAATCCAACTTGTATTATAAACTTACAATAATAACTTATCTGGTAAATAGTGACAAGGATGCATGAAGTTCTTAAAAATGTCCCACTTGTATTTAAAGTCAAAGCATTCTAAAACTGAGCCTTTTTCCTCGTGGGTTCAATGAGTCTTGCAAAATCTATACTTTTCTCCCGTGGTGGTTCCACTTAGGCTGTTCAACAGATTAAGAGTAGGCTGCTTTTCTTAAGCGCAAACTTCTGAATAATTCTGAACTCCTTCCTCCAGGCTGCAAAAGCTTCTCTTATTTCGAGAGTTTTTGCTGTTACTGTGTTGCAAAGCTTTCTTCTCAAAGGAGGATTTAGAAGTTTAAGAATTAATGTACTTCAGAAATTGAAAAAAAACCCCACTCAAACTCAGTAATTAATTGTTTAGAATTAGCTAGGTAATTCAAGTCCATTAGTTTGAGTATATTTTTTATGTTTTTAACTTGCATTGGTATTTCAGTGATTCCTATCTGAATTTAGACCTTGCATATCTATTCAGTAGGTTTGTAAGGCCTAAAGACTTGCCCATAAGCATCAAATTAAGCAGCCCTTTTTAGTTTAATGGGATGACCTAGGCAAGTGGAATTCAGGCACATGCACAAATGCTTGTAGGGTCTAGTCTTTAAACAGTATGCTACAAGCAAGGCTTATGCTGCTTTAACTGTGTCTTCTAACTCCTTTAATTAGGTAGATTTTTCAACAACGTAATTAGATAGATTTTTAAACAGTGTTGTGAAACTGGTGCACTTTTCTGCAGAGATGGGTTTAGAGCATGGTCTCTTTGCTGACTGTGTTTGAAAGTAGACAAACACCCTTCATGAACTCTAAAAAAACCCAGTACCTGAAGACAATGGGAGTGAATTTCATACCTGTACACAAACACAACAAAAAAGAGGCAATTTAAGCTTTTTCCTCCAAATTTTTCCTGCTGCACACCTCTGCTCCAGACTCTGCCTGTCCCCTATCTTTGTACTTGCTCTTATTCTTGACACCATTGCTCAACTGCTCATTTTTTCCCTTCGCTCTCTGCTTCACTTTTTGTGGTCTTCTATGAGCAAAGACAGAGAGAAGAAAGGAGAGATTGGAGTTAAAAACCTCACCTCAACCCTGTTGGCATGAGTCTCAAGTAAAAAATGAAGTGATGGTATCCTGTCCTCAGCGTTTGGACATCTTCCTGCATTTTTCTACATTCCTAGGGCAGATTTGATACTCAATAAGAGCACTCTTCCCATCTATTCATCTGTCATTCTGTGGGTTGCACAAACAGTAGATTCCACTAAAATCTCACTATTTAGGTAAATCTGCTCTGTCTCTTCCCGTTCCTGTGGGAATGCACTAAGCTTCCCAAGCCCCTGTGAGCTAGATATGCCGAAGCACGTAAAATACTAGGATCCAGAAGCCACTGAGAGGAGCAAAAGGCAAGCCACCCCATAATTGTCAGGTTGCTATTGGCAGGGGAAAGGAGCTAGGAGAAAAAATGATCTTCCCCACAGACGGATCCCGGGGGGATGATCTTCCCCACAGACGGATCCAGGGTGCAAAGATATTCTCACTAAAATTAGCTGCCAAGAAGCTACTGGTATCCCTCCAAGATAATGTTCTGATCAGAGAGAGGCAAACTCAAAAATAAAGAAAATTTTGTGCAACTGTATAAAGTTCCAATTGAACATGGTGCTTAGGTTCCGCTAATCATGAGCATTTGCTCGAAGTGTAACACATACTTAAGCACAGTACTGGTTAGGGATAGCCTTGAGGATATGTTAAGATCAGTCCGTATCTATGATTAAGCTGATTTACTGATGATGGGCTTAAATTTTGTCCCTGTTATTTTGCAGGTATGGATGTAGGCACTGCTTAGGGGCAGACAGAGGAGATAAATCAATTTGGAAGTTTTTTTGTTTTTCCAGTGGCCACTGGGTCAGAGTGCAAATGTAGCTAAGAAAGAGCAGATCAGGACAAAGGCAAAGAACACATTTCTGAAGGTTTCCTGCCCCTCTCGGCTACATTCACTCCATAGATGAAGAATGGCTCTTTATAGGGGTTCAGAAAAATGTTGTGTAAAATGCAGCTTTTATGGTGAATGTAGACTATGGTTGAGATTTCTTTTAAGCTCTAGTCTCCTACATTCTTTGTGAGCTATTGTAAATAAAATCCCGTTTTGTTGGGGAAAAACCGCTGTGCTAACACTGGATTAGAATTGCTGGGGATAGCTGCTGTACTTTGTAACCTGAAGTGTACTTTTTTTGACTGTTATATTTTTTTCTTCAG